AAGGATTGGGAATTTCAGAAAGAAAAAGAAGCAGGATATGAATTAAGCCGCGACAAAAATTTGTCCTGTACTGCCCTTTGTTTAAATTTAGATGAGTTTCTTGTGAATCCTTTTTAGTTCTTCATTTACAAATCTTAAGCATTTAAAAATTAATTAAATGAGTTGAATATATCTAATTAAAAATACACCACAAAATACATTTTTATATCACTTCACATATGAAGCACATTAGATGAATGATTTGAGACTCTTCCAATAATTCCTGTTCAGAAATAGTCTCCAGAAACCCATCAAAATTTCAGTAAATAATATGCATATGTAGTATTTCGAAAATCATGATCACAGAACGTCCATAATTATGATCAAAGTTTTCAGTGATTGTGGAATTCATTAATACGTTTTTATTGAATAAGGACAGGAATGCTCTGAAAAGTAAGCCTTCAAAACATGTCTTTCAAGATAATTCTTAATTTACAAAATTTGTAAAACACCGTAAGAAAATTTTTAAATATATATTTTTATTTATTTGGCAAGGAAATAATAAATAAACGAAATGATACCAATTTTAATTTTGGAAGATATTTCTAAGCAATCATTAAATAATATCAAATTAAATTGTTACTAGAAATCGCATTAAAAATCTTTCTTTCATCAATATAAAAGTGAATCGAAATTAAAAGTTAATGAAAAACCTAAATGAAACATTAATTGTAAATCTGCATTATTTCACTTAAGACGTTTTCGAATGCATTTTAATGTGATCGTACAAACTTTAACATTACACACAATATGTATTATATTTCGAGAAATGTTCATCATATTAAAAGAACAAAGAAATCATACTTTCAAATAGCACCTGAAATTGATTAATATTCAACTATCAAAGTATTGCACACACATCGGTCATGGAAGAGAGAGATGTGCAGTGCGCCAGCCTGCGAGCACCAGCGCCAAGATAGGCCGGGATCAGGCGATAACTTTGATTTAGTTTAAAATTTCCAGCGGCGAGCGCAGCTGCAGCCCTCGCCGCGCGGTCAGCTTCGCTCGCCAGTCCCTTCCCGCCCCCGCCCCCGCCCCGACACGCAGCGGCGCGCTGGCTCCGCCCCCGCCGCCCGCGGGCGTGTGAATAATTCCCATTCCCCGGCGTACCACGCGGGGAGCGCGTCCCCGCCCCGCCCCGCGCCGCCTGCCTGTCACTCACCCTCGGCGTCACGCTCCACCTCGTCCGCGCCCCGCCCGCGCCGCCCGCGCCGCGCTCGCACCGCCCTCGCTTCTTTCCCGCGCGCGTTCGATCGCGCCTCGCCTGTTTTCCGATTCCGCCGCGTCTCTCTCGCCCTCGCTCCCGGCCGCGCCAAGACGCCGCCTCCGCCCCTTTTCCTTCTCCCTCTTCCCTTTTCGTCCCTCGACTGTCCGTGACGACGCGGCGCCGCCGCCGTTCCTCGCCTCCGGCGATCGCAGCTGCCTCCTCCCTCCCCCCTCTCTCTCTCTCTCTGTCTGGCTCCCTTTCGAATTGTTTGCCAATTTCGCCTGCTCCCAACTCCGCGGCGAGCGAGGCGCGGCCGCGCGGCGACCGCGCCCAGCCCCAGGGTGTGATTATTCTCGCAAGGCATTGCAGTGGCGCCCGCGGTGGCGGAGGCCCCATCCCGGCCACCCACGTGCGGCGCGCGCGCGCGCCCACGCGCGGGGCGGGGCGGGGCGTGCGGCGATCGCGTGCGGCGGAGCGGCGTGCGCGCGGCCGCGGGTGGGTGGGTGGGGCGTCGCCGCTAGGACGCCCCCGCACTAATCAATTAGCCCTCCCGCGCCGCCCCCCCACGCCCGCGCCCCGCCACTCGAGCGCGGCGCCCTCGCGCGCCCCTGCCAGCCGGCCCCTCCCGCCTCCCCTCCCCTCCCCTCCCCACCCGGTAGGGCGCGTCGCGCCGCGCGGCCGGGCGGGTTTGGCGCGCAGCGGTATGTGGCCTGCGGGCTTCGGCCGGCGGCGCCCGTGAGCACTTGCAAGCGGGGCCGGGCGGCGGTGAGGGGCAGGGCGAGGCGGAGGCTGCGCGGCCCGCATCACGCAACTTGCCAACTGCAGTTCGCGCGGCAGTCGTCGAGCGCTCATTGTTGAGCTGCGATTGACGCGCGCCCGCGAGCCGAGAAAGCGCGCGCGCGCTTCGCCTTTGTCTTAATTGGGCGTCGCGCACTCGATGCCACGCGCCCATTGATGGCGTCTGATCGACGACAACGGCAGGGAAAAAGAGTCATTAGAGAGTTTCGTAAGATGGGGAATCATTTATAGTACGTAGTTCGTAATCATTGTCGTCAATAAGAAATTACGTTTCTTCAGAAAAATGAGTTTTTCAAAGTTGTACAATCTAAAACAAACGTAAAAATAGGAACTATTTAAAAAAATCAATGTAGCTTCAGTGTAAAAAATAACTTACAAATCCTAAACAAATACGTTAGTTTATTTCTGCTACATTTCAATAATTTATTCAACTTGAATAAATTTAGCCACAAAGAGCCTGGCATATAGTCGTACTACTGATATTGTATTTTTCATTATTTCTATGCTTGTTGTGTATTAGTGTCTATTAATGCTTATTGTGTATTAGTGTCGAATAATGATGGCAGCGAAAACTATGTAAAGTGTAAATTATGGACACATTTGTAGAAGACGACGAAACAGGTAGAATGATGGGACCGTCAATAAAAATCATCTCGTTGTATTCCGGCGCATGCGCAGTTAATTCTCTAAAGAATGGACGTGTTACTTCTTTCAAATTCACGACTTGCTAATACTCTTTTGCAATGTGTTACGCACGTTAAAATAGGAGTGTCATGAATTGTGACATTTCAGGCTTGAGTATGGTTCGCGAGTGCTGTTCGTACAAAAAGGAGACTTTTATTTAAATAATTACATTTTATATTGTATTTAACCTTTTTACTCAACACAGACGTTCACATAATAGCTTCAGAATATATGCTCATAAAGGATCTTACCGTTTTGCGGTATTTCTATTCTTCTTAACGACTTGACATTCTTGGATTTTATAACATTTTTAGATGTGTTGTCATTACAACATTTTAAAAATATGATTGGAACGAAGCATATGGTAACAGGAGAATATGGAAATTATGTGTGTACTGGAAATGATAAAATACAATTATGCGATGATTGTAAATATTTGGGCTTCATAGTTTCTAAAGAGGGCAAAAGTAATAAGGGTATTAATAATAAGAAAATCAAGGGAAACGCGTCGTAAATATGCCAAATTTAATTCTGTGGAACTCCCAGTTATCAAAGAACACAAAAAACAATATAGACAGTACCATAATAGAAAGTATTGTCACATATGGCTCGGAAGTATGGGAACTAACCCCCAAAACAAAAAGAAATTAACAAAAGGACTTTTGAGACGAAGTTGCAGAATATCTCGATTAAACAACATACGCAATGAAGAAACAAAGGAGAAAATGGACATTCAAAAGGATATAATTGATACTGTTGAGCCAAAACAGCTTCAGTGCTACGGACATCTGATGAGAATGCCAGAAGAGAGGTGGCCCAAACACGTTCGTAAATGAATACCACCGTATAGAAGACGACGGGCAGGCAATCAACCCCAGGGAAACAAGGACAACTAACTGTGAAGGCAACAAGAAATTTGACGGAGGGAAATGTGTTGGATAAAGGAGGATGCAAAAGAGAAACCGAGAAATATCGCCAGATGTAAACTACTCGGATATAAAAAAAAGGTTTTCTCTCATCAACTTACAAATGCATAATAATCATGATAATTTACTATAACTGAACATGAGAGCATTCGTACCTTATTACGACAATATTAAGCACATCCATGAGAAAATGATTTCTTCTAATGATTGCATTTCTCTGGTACATTAATACATTCACGTCTGGATGAAATTAAAATCAATATCCAAGTTACTTTTATAAATGGAGTGGAGAAAAACAGAATAATTTTGGATTAGGCAACGGTCAGTGAAAATAAACATTCTTCTCCTATATGCAATTCTGTTCATTGATGAACTCAATCGTTGATCTCAGTCGTCATCCCTTGGTGGCGCACTCTTGAATCTGTGATGCAATGCCAGGCGAAAACAATTCAGAAAAGTACATATATTGTAAATATCTTATGGTTTATTGTTGTAAATAATAGCCTACAGTTCTCTTGACCTTCAAATGAAGCTAGCACATAAGTTTCATCGCTGTTCGTCCAGTACATTAAGAGATTATCGCACTGTAACGCAACGCCCTTGTGTCTTTATGCATTAGTATAATATAATAATATAAAGTATAAACATAACGCGAAACGAATAAGGTTATAGGATATTAATACTGTTTTCTTTCAATATTGTTCAAGGCTCTTGTTCAAGTTCACGTCACAAAAAAATTATTCGTAATGAAATGCGTTCTATTAAAATAGACTTGATAGTTATATGTTAACTTATATATTAAAAAAACATAAGGAACATAAAAATGTCGTTTAGCATTTGAAGTTTTTCCTGCAGATTAAATGATCGTAACGAATCATTAACACTATAGCGAGAATAAAGCTCAGAAATAAGCCGAAGTAGAGCAATGAAACTACACGAGGAAATAATATGAATAAAAAAATGCAATTCAAAAATGAGTGCTATGAGGTACTCTGAAAATATTAAAATAGGTACTCTGAAAAAATACGAAAATCTCTTATTTCTTACCATTTATAAGAAGATAATGCAACATCATATATAGTAGTGTAATTTCATTAACATATCATTAAGATCGCAAAATACCATTTCCATAAAAAATGTCACTCATTTAATATATCATTTAAGGAGATAATCGATTTCTGTTAATGTAGTGTTAGAAATAATGTCTTATTACACAAATAAAAAGGAATAAAATAAAAACCTTTGATTAATCCGTTGATAATGCTCTATATTTTCTGGGCTGTTGGCTGACAAGTTCAGAGAACCAGCTTCGTTGCATTTACTATGGTGAGGTTTTCCTTTCGTCAAACGCAGATCAATCAAATGTTAGAACATTATCGCCTTAGGGGTATTCGAAGTCACAACCCTACAGAACCATTGCCTTTGCAGTATCAGCGTTGTAAATGCCAGCATGACAGTGGATGAAAATAGAAAAGAGAAGTAAAAAAGGAGTGAAGTAAGAACTTGTTAATATCTAAACTTTCTTTTATATTACATCTAATCCGACACTAGTGACTATTATACTCGGCAGAACCATCAAATGATTGCCTAGAGAAAATGAAGTTTTTACAAAGACAGACGCTTGCCAAGATGCAAGTAGTCAAAGTTAGAAAACGAATACAATGACACCTCACTGAAAAAACGCCTCTATTAAACGACGTCTATTTAACGATCGACCTTTCTTGGAACAGATACTGAAAGCAGTATGTTGTATGTACGAGTAAATCGTATTCCTAAATAGATCACCCGTCTTCCCGGCCACCGACCGGTCGCCTAATATCAATTTTTATTAATAGTATATGTTAAGAAATAACTTTCTGGAAAATGTAAACATACAGCTTATTCAGTTATTAAAATTAAATTGGTATGTTGTTATTGGCATATGCGTCACATGCTCTATGCCTATGCTTCAATACTTAGAGGAATTTAGGGGGGTAGGGGATTCTAGGAGTCAGATACTGCATCCCTGACATAGTACTAGGGCCGCCGTGAGGAGTGGACTTAGTTTCTGTTTTGAATATATGCGTCGAAAATATTATTTAGTACAATATATGCTGTACAAACTTTGGAGGATTTGCTGAATATGATTCGCGAAAGTGAAAAGTGATTTGTCAGGAATAATTTTTAAATGTAGCAAAACACATAATATCAATTGTAAGAACATATAAAATATTTGACTGATTGGAATTCCAAAGTAAATCGTGGTATGATTTATACTAGAACTATATGGTGATTTGAATACGTTCTAGTTCGATTGGTTGGGTCAAAGAACATGCCTATAAGTGAATCTCTTGCGAAAGGAAAAGCTTAAGAACTTGATGCTCGAGGTGGGATTTTGGATTTCAGTGCAAGTAACGGATGGAATGAGAGTTTTCGTTTCGGTAACAATATTGTTTCCGCACAGTCAGAAGTGAAGCGATTATTGTGAATTTAGTAACACGTAAAGACTGGAAATATTATATCCTTTCAACCACATGGATGTGATGGGAATGTGTACCGGAGCTTTGCCATCTAAATTATTATACTAGAATCAGAACAATTTTCTGGCAAAAAATATCAGAAGAGCGGTTAACGTCATTTCCTGTATCAAGGAAGTCCGTGAGAATGATTTTTTTAGTCACCAATAAATTTATTTGCCCTAGGTGATAATGCAGATTCAAAGATGTATTTTACAAAGTTGGATGAACCTACCTGAGATGGGAATAATAGAAATGCTGAATGGCTTTGACATAACATTGCTTTTCAAAATAGAGATGCTATTGCTATGCTTTTACTGTGAAATGCTCTTTGTCATAACACACTTGTAAAATTTAAAATTAATAAATATAAAATGTTAAATGCAACAACTATATCAAGGAGTGATCAAATCACAGCGCGTGCTTTGACTAAGTCACTCATTATCTACATCTGACATAGAAAATAACTGATAGTGAAGCTATTGTGTGAATTACATCACGCAGAATGGAATTTACTCATTTTAACACAAAAATAATTTATTATTATTATTATTATAAATTTAAAAAGTATATTGTATTGTCTATTTGTTATTTTAAGTGTAGTTTTTACAGTTAATAGTAGATGATGAGGCCACAATGTGCCTCTAAACGGGGTAAATTTTATGAAGATATGTGATTGTTAACTTTAAAATATAGCAATTTAAATGGTCGTCTAAAAAATTGAGGTGTATCAATGTGAAAAAATAACGAAGAATGAAGTTTGCTTACCTAATACAAACACGGTTTTGCGTTTATCCCGAAGAGTTAAATATTGTTTCATTACAGTCTAAACAACCAGAGGATATACAAATTCTAGCTAGAACAGCTGTAAAGTCTAACTTAGATGTAGCAGATGTAAAATGGGGCGATAGATTGGGATGTGATGAATAAAGATAATATTGGAAGGCGCAATAATGCAGAAATGTTTGAAAGCTAAGGTTTACAAGGGTACGATACAAAGATCTTTCACATCAGATGGGTGAGTCACAGCGTCACCAGAGATTTTTAGCTGATACGGGAATATGAGACGAGTAACTGTGGCGAGTCCTGCTAGCTGTGTTATTAAGTCCGAAGCTGCAGAGCAATGAAGTAGACGAGGATAGTAAAAGCGTCGTAACAATATGTTTATGAAAGACGAACAAAGTGTCACCAAGAATTGCTACATTCCGCTATCTTCTTGGGTTCATGAAACTTGCAGCGCGGTGGATACCATATGAACTCGGTGAGGTGAGACAGTTACGTCCTTACAAAGAAATTTAATGAATGAAAAATCTTTGATTCTCGACGACTCAAAATCTTGTATCCTACACAAGTGGCGTAAAATATATTTATTATAGCCTACTATTCATAAGGTAATTATTCGTAATGATGTATCTCACAGGTAAATGGCTTATTCTTGTTACGCTGGGAAAAGTAAGTGAATTTAGCTTACTATTCATTTCAGAACGTTTTGCAACTTCATTTTTCACTCAGAAGAAAGCGTCTGCACGTTCTTGCACTGTTTCGCATGATTGTTTACGTCAATGCGCGGTGTCTCACGACTAACACTGTGATGGAGTTCCTAAGTAACTGGCAGTGAGAGATTTTAGAATATCCACCATATTCACCGAACATGAATTCGTGGGATTACGGCCTTTTCGCCAAAATGAAGGAACCGCTTTGCAGAAAGCACTACGCTACGAGAGAAGCCATAATTTGCAAGATAGAGCGGTCATAGAGAGTCGTTGAAAGATGTGGACTGACTTGCCGTGTAAGACGCCTTTCACGCGTGTAGAAGCCGGTAATAGAAATGGGGTGATAAGATTGAAGAAATGCAATAGATCGTCTTCCGTGAAAAATGGTTCATCCGAATTTTAAGTGCTGCCACTCCTTTGTATCCAACCCTTGAATACTACGAATATGAGAACGTAATATTCTAACTATGGGAGCAAAAAATCTATTTCTTGATATTGAGAACCATCTTAACGTGTGTTTCTGTCAAAAATATCTTCCTCTTTTCCGACATTTCTAAACTTCCCGTGGTAGTACGAGTTCAATAGAAATAGTATAAGATAAAGTGAAAGTCGAAAATGAATCTTAATTAAACACACTAATTTGTCTTCACTAATTTGTCAGATTAGACTGTTAGATTTGTTAGTTACTGTTGTAATGGATATGTTGATCAGATTTTTATTGTTTATAGAATACTTCAAAATTCGAAGGTATAAAATTATGATTAATTTTTTTTGTATTACCGCGTGCGTTAACTGCTATGGTTCTTAGTACCGTAAGTGTGGTGCATGTCACATCTGGGGAGGGGGCGGCGTTCCTCTACTTCTGAAACGTGAGATCCAAACTACACAGCGGTTTGCAGGCTTTCCCCCTCGTGGTATCCCCCGCACCGTAGTCGCCGGGACAAACCCCACGCGCGGGCTTCCCGATATGCGCGGTAGACTAGTGCCTATATTCGGAAGTGTAAGGGGAAAAGAGGAGACCAGGTTCCGGAACGTGCATGATTGACGGCCTGTTTTTATGTTTGTTCTCCGGGATTCGTCTGGCATTGATCGGAGAAACCACGAAAATCTAGCCATCAGAGCAGTCAACCGCTAGAATTGTCCCCCAGGCAGCGACTGAATTCGACCAAGCTACCAAGTTAGCCGTCACCATCTTCATTCTTGATATAATAAATGGAAGGAGATACAGTTTCACTTCGAAACTAATTTGAAAAACGGCGATTCTAATGATATTAAAATGTGTTGGTTGTAACCTAAATTCAGAAAAATACTTTCCTTTGCAAATACTAATATGAAATAGATATTCATAAAAATCTGGCGTTTTCTTGGGAATACATCTTTGAAATCTGATCATAACATAGAAATACTGCACAAAAAGCGAAGATTTTCGAAAATTGTAAAAAATTGTCAACATTGTTCGTATAGAAATGGAAGCAATATCTCAGGGAAAATATGTGACGATGAATAAAGAAACGATGGTCACAATCCCTAGCAGAATTTGTACAAGATTACATTGAATGTGGATTATGAAATCTGTGCCATTGGAAACAAAAGCGTCTCTCTACAATTAGTATTGAGAACTGTCTGTAAACAGATTTTTAGTTGGTAAGCAATTTAAAACGCTCCTTGAAATTTTGTATACTACATTTACTCAAACTTCATTGTCGGGGTAGACTGTGCAAGAAAAACGATCTGCGTTCCCAAAGTAAGATGATATTCATATTGTTTTTCCTTTTACACTAAAAAGAATAGTTACATTTTATAAGGTCTCTCAACGTTTAATTTTTAAAAATATTCTGAAAATTGTATAACAACTTCGTTGATTGTTTTCAATGATTTTCTTTAAAATTATTAACCATATACAATCTCACTGATATTCTTCCCAATTTTACATAAGTGATTTAAAATACTGTATTTTACATACATAGATGAAAAATGACCGTATATATTATAAGTACATATTATAACAGAGTAGTTTTCTATTACAAACGTCATTGAATAATAATTCAAACAACTGATACTGATTCAGAACGAGAATATCAATTAAGAAAAATATATTCCCCCAAAAATGAAATGTTTTCTAATGCGCATCATGCTGCGACGAAAAATATTCATTAGGGAATTTCTGCACGAGGTGTCGTACAAAAATGTGATATGTGACTAAAAAAAGCTTTATGACCCGTGTCCTGTGAAGTGCAGAACGAATTTTGCATAATGTTTGGTTTTCTAAGGCGACTTAAATTAAAATAGTGATTTCGAGAAGTGACGGCAGTGCATGCTGCTTACGTTAAATTCCCGTTATTCCATACCCAGTTGATTCACATTTTTTGTCTAAAACTGCTCACCAACCCGAACTCACTGCCATGCATGTAGTTAGAAGCAACCTCTGTCGTGGGAGTTCGGAAGAAATTAACTTTTTATTGATCACGAGACTTGCATCG